CAGGACCAGACACCAAAGGATGGAATTGATTAATGACAATGATCCCTGGATAAGGAGGGATGAAAAGCAACCTTGATTATCTCTACCCCTCATGTTTTTTTTTTTTTAAAGATTTATTTATTTACGAATTCAAGAGGTTTGTGTGGGGGCGGAGGGTGAGAGGATTCACCAGAGACAGGGTGGGGAACAGAACAGGCAGACCGACTGAAATACACTGCTGAGGAGAGCAACAGGCGAGACAGGAGAGGTCTGCTGCACCATATGGGCAGCTCCCTGGTTGGGGATCGAACTTGTGCTGCAGTGGCTGCGGATAGCTTCATAGGTTGTGTCTTAACCCCTTGCGCCACCAGGGAGGCCCTCATGTTTTTCATTTTAACTATTTCACACAGTCTGAGTTCATAGTCTTCTTACTGCACAGACTCCCTTAACTTTGTCTAGGTGTTGGCTATGTGGGTGTATCCATAGGTAAATGTTGATCAAGCTATGCATTAAAGACTTGTATATTTTGCTCATGTAAGAAAATTTTAAAAATCAAGGGAAACCACATTAAATGGTTAAAACCACACAAAAAAGCCATAATAATAATTATGAAGATACTTATCATTTAGTCATAGTAATACATTGTAGCTGCCCACAGACTGTAAGCGACCTGAGGGCAGAGACCATGTCCTGCATCTCATCCATGACTACCCTTTCTGTAGAACATGCTGAGCCCGCTGCAGGGAACAGCACCTGAAAGGGTCTGGGAAGGGAAAGCTGGTGCAGTTTCAATGACTCACCCCTGGAGTGAACAAAAATCACAGGTGCCAAAGACAGCACCTTAGCGAAAAGTATACATGTGACCTGAAGGACATGAATCACCTAGTTTACAAAATCTAAGTGCAAGGGTTTATTTTTTCCCCTAAACCTATAATAGCTTATAATATCTGTGTATCTGCTAGAATTTTTCCTATCCAGTTATTTACAGAGAAGTAGGAAGACACTGACCTTTTCAGGTCTCCTTGTATGGTGACTGGTATTCAGTGTTCATTCCTTCCTTTCTCCATTCTTGTAGAAATGTGTAGTTCTGCCTCACTGACTTTGAGACGTTGTTTTCTTCTTTGGGTCTTTATATCCACTACAGCCTGATCTTCTCTACCTCACACAAACTCCTCTCCACTCACTCTTCTGAGACTGGGAGCTGACTCCTGTTTTCTGTCACCCAATCCAGAGACTTCTATGGTAACTGTAATGCTTCCCCTTTCTAAACACATTTTCAATGGCAGGACCTCATTTTGCAGGATACTTACTCATCTGTTTTGGCTCTTTATAGCCTACTATTTTTAACATGCCAGTTTCCAACAATGATCTTTAGAATCACAGCAAGTAGTCTATGTGCCAGCGCCAAAACAAATAAGAGATTATTTTATTGGTTAATGTACAAACTGGATATTGAAATCCTAGTTTTGTTGCAGCTCAGAGAACTGGCCAGAGAATATGGGTCAGACTCTAGGCCTGCTTGCATCTACCATTAGAATAAATCTAAAAAATACAGAGGCGATTCCACATCAGCCAATAAAACCCTTTATGGTTGATTAACTGTACATGGGTAATAGGGTATAAATGAGGTTAAGAAATTTGCCTTCAGAGGGACAATGCTCTAATAATCTTGTTGTCTGTCTATATAATTACTGTTCTTACTATTATCTTAAATGATACACTCATAATTCATGGGTCACGTATTCTCTACTAGAATCCCTCATTGTAAATCAATCTACTGTACATGTGAAAATGAATTTATAAACCTGAAATGCAGGGAATCATAGTGTCAACGGAGACAACCATCAAAGAAGAAGAGAGTCTGTCTGAACACTTGCTAGGCTGCCTTTTGGAAGAAAGCAGTTGGCCAAAGGGACCCCACGTAAAAGTAAACTCAGATCCAACTATTGAGACTCAAGGCACACAAACTACCGCCTGGATTCGCTCCCTCTCAGCTGTAACACTGGTTCTTCATCAACACTTCTCAATGAACTGCAGTAATTCTCACTAGGAGGGGAGTGAATGAAGAATAAGCAGGCACACACAGCTTAGAATAAAAAAGAGGTAGCTGTTTAATTATTAGTTGAAGTGCTCTGCGACTGACCCCCCAGTTCTATTCCTGGTCCACCCTAAAAGCTCATAAAAACTCATGGAGACATGAGCCACATCCCCCAACACTTCCTCACAAACAGAGAAGAGAGGGCATGTTGGGAGCTCAGGTGGGTGAGGTAGAGTCTTGACGGAGGTTGCCTGAAGGAATTTATTGGTGATTGAATATGAAGATGAAGAGAAGGTAAAAAGGAGGTAGCAATCAAGTAAGCCTTGGGTGCCACTAAGCCAGAGACCATGGAAACACATTAAAAAATAACACTTTTCTTTGTGACATATGTTAATAGTTCCTTGGCTCTAACCAAACAGAATTTACCCATTGACATAAACAATGATGACAGGACACATTTCCCCAAGCCAGGGACACCTGATTCTAGAAGTCTACTATTCCAAAGGCATGGCATTTTCAAATAATTTGTCAGACAATCACATTTTAAAAAGTTATACTGGATTGAATCCTTGTGCTTGTAATAAACCAAAGCACCAAGAAAACTCAGTATGTTTTCTCAATTTTATCTTTTGAAAGTTCAACAATATTTGCACAATTCTAGCAATAATATCCACTAAAGTGGATTCATGCCAATAGACAGTATTATCATTATTTGATTTCATTTACTATTGTTGTTATAATTAGCAAGGTGACAAAGTTCTACTGCAAGCACCATTAACTACATGATAAAAAGCGTCAAATAATACCCAAAATGCTTAGGTTAATTTACCTTTTCATTTGTAATTCAAGGTATGTATTAAAACATAATTTAAAAGCTGCCAATTGTTACTAGGGCAGAATACCATGAGACTGGATTGATTAAAAGATAATCCCTGATAATCTGGAGTCATGAAGTAACCTAGATCCTACCTACTCTGAGTTTACAGTCTTCTTTCTGCACCAACCCCCTCAGTTTTCATGCCTCAGCACTTCTTGATTGTGCCTCTTTCCCCATGGATTTTGCCTGGGAATCCTCAGAGTATGATCAGCTCTTCACCCCAAGCAAGAAATTGCTGCTGGGGGAACTTCCTATGAGAGCTAAGCTTTCCCTGCAATGCAATGGGGGGGAGGGGATGTGTGGTGCAGTTGCCTAGAATAGGGCCACACACCCCTGTGCCTTAAGTACCAACAGCTTCCTCACACCTCGTATTTGCATTCCATTTCACAGAGCAATTTCACACACTAGCTGGCAATTCTTACGCTTGCTGTAAAAGCAACCAGGGATTCACCTCATCTATCACTAGTCTGCTGCTGCCTCTTTTGAGGGCTACAGCAGGGATGGAAGGGTGTTCCTTAGCCAGGGCTAAGCCAGCCAGTGAATTCGAGGGGGCCTCCCTCAGATTCAAATCCTGGAAAACAAAATGCATGAGAAGCAGATCTGGAGTTTAAGATGGACTCCCAAGGCTGAGGGAGTTGGGATCCTTTTTCAGAAATAAACAGCTGTGTTACCTAATTTTAAACCTGTACAATGGGGGCAATCAAACCTACCTTACAAGGTTCGGTAAGTTCTAAAAGAAATGATGTACATAGAAGTACATGTAGAAGCACTGGGTAAATGTTAGGTTTTTGGGTGGGGGGGTGGTTAATTGCCTGGGATGTGACACCAGCCTGCTTGGGTTTATATCCCATGCTTACCATTCAACAGCTTAGAACACTGGATAAACTATGTAACCCCTCTGACTCAGTTTCTTTATCATTAAAATGAAGTTTTATTACAACACAAAATAGATATCCAATATATATCAACTATTTATTTAATTGTGAGCAAAAACAAGTCATGTTTCCATCTCAAGCAACAATGTAGTAGTGAATTAAATGAGAGTTCAGAATAATGTGGATTTTTTAAATTGTGAAAACCTTGCAAGTTTTACGATTCTCTGGGCAGAGGCAAGCTATGATGCTAAGGGTGGGGCTAAACTGTAACATGAAGAAAAAAATTCAAAGAGGGAGAATAACCACCCACCAGGGAGCTATTTCTTTTGTAATGTACATTCCATTTCTTCTCTCTCATGCTCTTTAATTCCTTCCACATTTCCTGCCATAATTATCAAATGTTTGGTTTCTGACCTCACTTTTCTGGAGCTCAGAACCCAGGGAATTTAGAATTGTTTATTTTCTGTCCATAAACCTTTGAGTTAATGGAGGGGCTTGTGAGTGAAGGGTTTGTTGGTTTGTTTGTAGTGTCTCAGGAAGGTCACTGGAATTGAAAAGAAAACATTACCAAAAAAGCACTGAAATACTTTGGAAACACGAAGCCCCCAAAGAGCGGCAATGGATCTCTCTCTCTTGCACAATGCTAGTTTAAAGGAAAATTGAGATTTTTAAAAGGCCGTTATATGACCCTGATAATAACACAAAATCCGTGGGCACATTACAAAGGAAAAAAAAAAAAAAAAACTCAGGCAATCATAATCTCACTTTGCAAAACTGAAACAAACAAACAAGCAAACATTATTTCCCCCTAAATGAAGAATTTCTTGAGTTTTTTTTTTCTCTTCTCCGAGGACTCAGACTCGCAAGGGAAGCGCCCCTAACTATGCTCAGTTTGCTCCCAAGTGAAGGGAAGAACTCCAGGCGCCTTTTTGAACTCGGCTGCTGCTCTTGTCGCCGCCTCCATCCCCAAGGGCCGGCTCGTCCTCTCCCCTCGTCACTCTCCCTCCATATTAGCAACCGTGGGGCTCCCGCTTACGGCCCAAACTACTTTCCTGATTTTGAGGTTTAAGTTTCCTAAGTAGTATTTCTGCCCGGAGCGCCCCTCTCACCCCACGAAAGGAAACTCCCAGCCCCACCCCAGAAAGCATCCCCGGGACGCACGCCCTGCCCGCCCCCCGCGCAGACCCGGGGGCCCCGAGCTCGAGGTGGGACCCCCGCGCCGCTCACCTACCTCGGCGTGGACCCCGGCGGCCGCCACGAGCGCCAGCGCGAGCCAGCGCGTCCACATCTGCGGGAGAGAGAAGAGTCACTGGAGGCCCCGGGCCCCGCGGCGACCCCGCAAACTTCTTCGGGTCCCGCAGGATCGCCCCCTCCGCCCGGCCACCCTGGGGCGCCCGGGGGGTCGGCGCCGCTCAGCCGCGCTCACCTTGGCCGGGTCGGTCTCCGGAGGGCGCGGGGCAGCTCGCTGGAAGGGAAGGTGGGAGCTTCGCTATCGCCAGCCTCGGAGGAAACCCGACCTGGGCTGGCCGCCCCTTAAGACCCCTCCTTCCCGGCCGCCTGCCCCCCCTCCCAGCTCCTCCCATTCTCCTCCCCCTTCTGCAGCAGCGGCCCCCGCGGCTCCGGGCTACACTCGCTGCTCCCAGCCCCTGGCTCCGGGAGCCCGCGTGCGTCCTGGCGCGGTCCGAGCCCTCTCCCCGCCAGGACCCTAGCTGAGCACCCTTTTGCACCCCAGAGAGTGGAGGCTGAGGCAGACGGGGAGGGTCCCGAGGTGGGGGGTGCGGGGGCGTTGCAACAAAGACCGAGGGGATGGGGTATGTGGGACACCTAAACCCCACCCCTGGGAGGGGCCGCGGGCTTGCGGCAGCTCTGGCGGGCTGCGGCTGTGGCTCGGTGGGGGGTGCTGCTGGGGGCCCCGGTTGGAGGGAAAGGCACCCCGCATCTGGGGAGCCGGACTGCCCCTTACCCCGCTACCGCCCGCCACGGTTAATAAGAATGGGCGGGGGGTGCAGAGGTAGCCCACAATTCGGGGCCCACAGCGTCTTTGCTGCCAGAGCTCCGGGAAGTGAGAGCAGGATCTGGAAGCCCGGCTGGCATGGGCATGGGGCAGGCTGCTTTGGGTTCAACTGTGGATTTCCTGTGGAGATAGTGGTGGCAGCCCTGCTCTGCGGGGGTTTTCAAGCCTTCGCCAGCAGCGTCGGGTCCTTCCCTCTGGTCCAGGAGCCGTGACCCCCTCCTCTCCTGTTTGCCCTGCTGCCATCCCAGGTACCCTTCATGTTCATGCTTGCCCACCCCAAATTCTTCCCAGTGACTTTGAAATGTGTTGGTGTGGACTCCCCACACTGTTTCCAACTGAGGCTCTTTTCCTACCTGTGTCCCTGGTACCAAGATAAAATACACTCGACACTCAGATTTAACATGCCCAAGACTCCCCCGCCTACTCACGCGCCTTTTCAGAGTGGTGCCTCAAAAAGTGCCTCCGCTTCCCACACCTTGGTTGTCACCACATCCTGGCAGCTTTCCCTTGACATGTCATGTACATTCCTTCATCCCCAGTCACATTTCCTCTTCCCTAGGCCAGGCCCTCCTTCTTCCTCACTCTGGAATGCTGGAAACCACCTTTGGTTGTTCTCCAGCTCCAGGCTCTCCTGCCCGAGCCTGGCCTGCAACCCTTTGCCATATTCTAACTACCTGATTTAAACAGTCCCCTTTTCCTCTTCCCCTGCTCAGAAACTTTCAGCTCTGTTCCCACAAGTCCAAACTCTGCCTTTCATTTAAGTCTTTCAATACTGGGGCCGTCCTATCCACTAAGTACTCCAGCAACTGAATATAATAACTCCCTCTGCTAAATCAGGCTGGCATTCTCATTGTCCTCTGAGCTTGTTATATTCATTTTTCTGCCATGGTTTGTTGAGTGCCTATTGTGGTTTCAGGGGGCTTCAAATAACACCCATGTTTCCCATGTATGTTCAGAATCCATTTAGATAATTGTAGAAGTCAGACTCACAAAGAGCAAATCGTCAGCTTCATTCCTGGTAGCAGCTGCAGAGGTGGCCATGGCTTAGATCTGCAGAATCAGTGGACCCGCTTGTACTCCACCCCAGAAGTGAATATACCCTTCCCCCCACCCCTCACCCCAACCCAGTCACAAGCAGAATTTCCATTCTGCTTGGGTGAAACTGTGGTTTTACAGTTTTTGGATAGCAGAAAATACATGCTTCCTAGGTCAGCTTTGCTCCTGAGACTCAAGGGGTCAGAGAAACACATGCTTAGCTACTTTTTCAAATTCACCAATCAGACAAGACATTTCTACATCCTTGTTATAGAAATAAGTAGGGAGTAGAGGTCCTTCCATGAGCTACTCTATCCCAGTCTCTGTGCTAGGACAGAGAGGAATTGTAATGTACAAGCTTTTGCTTCTGCCCTCTAATAACATTGCACACTTTTCATCTCTTTCATGTACATGCACCCTCTCAGAATCTGGTGTGATCTTTTGTCTCTTCTGCCTTCTATCTTATCAAATTATGTTGTTTTTTACTCCAGGACCCAAGTAAAGTTTCATTGCTTATCTAGCCTGTTTTCTGACAATAACTGGGCACACTGGAAAGCACCTGAGGATTGAGGTCAAACGAACCAGGCTGTCAATCCTTTTGCTGCCATTTTATTCATTAGCTGTGTAACTCTCCTCAAATTACTTAAGTTTTCTGAACTAAGGTTTCTGCAGCTGATAAATGACCGAGATAATGCCTTGAAGAGGCTGTGAAATTTAAATGTGGTGGCTAAGGAAACAGCCCACAGGTAGTAGATTTCCATAAATGGTAGCCATTATTGCATTGATCTGCTTTGCATGTGAATTGCCACTGGAATTCTGTGTCTGGTACTATAGAGTTATTCAGCATGTCTTATTTTATTTAATCACCACAACAAACTGGAAGTTTTTTTTATTGCTGCCATTTTCCAAATAGGGAAAATGAAGCTCAGAAAAATTTGGATACTTGCCCAAGATTAATACAACTTTACAACTGGGCATTTTATTGCATACTGTGATATGATGTTTAACATTTGTTCAGAGACTTTTCTTGATTCTCCAACTAAGCCATTTTAAGTTGTTTTGAGGATAAGGAGTTTTTTTCATATTTGATACTCTGTACAGTTGGGTCATGCCTGGTGGGTTTAATCATATAAAAATTAAAGATTTCTGTCCATCAAAGTCACCACTAGTAAGATAGTAGATTAGAAGGAAATATTTAGGCCTCCCTGGTGGCGCAAGGGGTTCAGACATAGCCTATGAAGCTGTCCACAGCCACTGAAGCACAAGTTCGATCCCTGGCCAGGGAACTACCCACATGGCACAGCAGACCCTTCCTGCCTCACCCACTGCTTCCCTCAGCAGTGTATTTCAGTCAATCTGCTTGTTCAGTTCCCCACTCTGTCTCTGGTGAATCCTCTCACCCCCCACACCTCTGGTCTGTACTCCAGTTCTTGTATGCATAAATAAATAAATGTTTTTTTAAAGGAAATATTTAATATCTAAAACTGACATAAAACTCATAGCTGTAATACATATGTGGCATTTGCAAATCAATTAGAAAAAGACAGGGAAACCAATAGAAAAATGGGCAAAGGGTATGAACAGACAATTTCAAAAAGAGGAATCCCAAATGTCTGAGAAAGAAAATATGCTCAAAGTCATTGGTATTATTTAAACTGCATAATGAAATTGGTGTTATTTTGTTACCTCCATTTTACAGATAAGGAAATGGAGACAGTGAGAATTTAAGGACTTTGTCCAAGGATACACAATAAGAGATGAATATTACCTTACATTCATCAATGTGGCAAAAATTAAACAGTTGGATAATGTGAGTAGTTCTAGTGTACTATAGTGATAAGGAGCAAGGGTTTATAGCCAGGGTTACTGGGCTCAAAATTGTCATCATAAATCTTAGCTTTTCTCTTACTGTGTTAACCTTGGGCAATGTCAACTACCCTATCTATGTCTCAGTTTTCTCATGGTAAATGGGTATAATAATAATAATACAATAAATTTTCACTTAAAGTCTTAAATAAGTTCTTGAAAACTGTGACTCTAAGCCAAAGTATAAGGAAAGCGGTGCCTCGAATGATGTTGTTCTGCTCATCATTAGACAGGAAGCTTTTTTCTCATCAGTTACAACAAAATGACACAGAAAATGCTCATTTCATAATGTTATTTGAGGACTTGCTGTACTAACTCAGAGTTATTATGCAGATTACATGTATTAAAATATGTAAAGTACTTAGAACAGTGCCTGCTATTTAAGTATATAATTAGTATGTCCTAATAAGGAAATAATTCAATAAAGGAATCTTACAGATACTCTTAATAATTCTGTGTTACTGAGTGTGGTTAACAACTCTCCACAATGAACAAAACAAGTAACAGTAACAACAAAGTTGCTTGAAAGAGTTGGTAGTTATATCAATGAGGAATATTTTGGATGCAGGTGACTGAGAAGCCAACTTAAATCCAGGAGTAGTTCTGGCTTGAGGTAAGTCTTTGTCCAGTAGCTCAAATGTGGATCTAATTTCTTGCAATCTCTTCGCTCTACCTGCAGCAATTGCAGCAATCTTATTTCATCCCTGGGATAGTGACACTTGGGAGTACTGGCCCATGCTGTCAGGATGTTAAACTAGCTACAGTGCCAGCTTCATCATGACCTTGGACTATACCATAGGGGCAAGGAAGAAAGCCTCTTTCTGGAGTTGCTACAAAATTCCCAGGATTCAATTATGTATATATACATGTATGTATGTGTGTATGTATGTATGTATGAAGATTAGCAGGAAAAACAAATATTAGACCATATGTGGGAATTTTGAATGAAAATAGAGATGTTTCAAAGAGATGCTTATATTGGCTAAATTCTGTTTCAGCAATGAATTAAACAAAGAACTATTTTTTTGTGTGAGCAGCTATGGAAAGTGATATTGGAAGTGATTTTTTAATAATAAATAACTTCTATAATGAAAGCAATATTTCCTGCAAGAACTGTATAAGTGCTTTGAATGGAGTGGATGGATTCAAGGTAAGGCCCCTGCACCATTCATAGATCAGCTACTGTAGCAAAGAAGAATTTTACAGAAAGTCAGTGATGCAGTTAATTTTATAAATTAACAGATAGTTGAATATTTGTAATGCTTACTAATGATATGAGAAGTGACTGTGAAAATATTTTCTATTACACTTAGGCTCACAGATTATGTTGGGACAGAGGCTGTATATGTTGCCAAACTTGAAAGCTTACTTTTTTGCTTGACAAAAAGACAGCTGTTCCAAATTTGTTGTCTCTTTATGTAATAACAAGTAGAATGGTGCTTATCAGATTAAAAAAAGCCAGCTCCACACACAATCTTCCACTTCAAGGTAAAACGTGATGCTTCTAATGAGGGAGAAAGTAATTGCTTTTAAAAACAAATTTGTGCTGTGGAGAAAATAATTTGAAATTGGATGTTTGGAAATGTTTCATGATAAGTAACTT